TCCACGAGACCCCCCCACACACTAACTTGCCCCCCCCGGACCCTCCTTGCTCCCTGTCCCCTGACTGCCCTGAACCCTATCCACCCTCCCCCCCGACAGACCCTGGGACTCCCATACCCCATCCAACCCCCCCCTGCTCCCTGACTGCCCCCTCCAGAGACCCCCCCATCCCTAACACCCCTCCCTCCGGGACCCCACCCTGCTCCCTGTCCCCTGACTGCCCCCACCCCTTATCCAACCCCCCTGGCTCCCGACCCCTTACCATGAGACTCCACGCAGAGCCAGATACGCTGTCCTGTGGGAGCGCACCACCCCGCACCTCAGAGCTCTGCGCGCGCGGTGGCAGGGCTCTGGTTGAGCGGGGAGCGTTTCTGCCTCCCCGCGGAGCCAAACACTGCCCCGCGGGGACGCGTAGCCCCGACCCCCAGAGCGCTGCGCGTGCGGCAGTAGGGCTCCAGGGGAGGGGAGAAGGCGGGGGAGGGGCCGGCAGCTTGCTGCGCTCGGCCCGGTGCTCTGGCCCAGGAGTGCGGACCCCGCGGCTTGCCGTGCTGGGAGAGTGGGGCCATTTGCCCACCCCGTGCACACGGCTATGCTTCTGCTCTCTGCCCCCGTGAGGGGAGTGGAGGGCAGAGGAGAACGGGCTGGGCAGGATTTTTAATGGCACGCCGGAGTCCCGGCAGGCTCCAGCATGCCATTAAAAATCGGCTCGCGTGCCATCGGTTGCTGACCCCTGCATTAGCTATTCTCCAGTCATTTGGTACAGAAGCTGATTTAAATGATAGGTTACAAATTACAGTTAGTAGTTCTACAATCTCACATTTGAGTTCCTTCAGAACTCTTGGGTGAATACCATCTGGTCCTGGTGACTTATTACTGTTTAGCTTATTTTGTTCCAAAACCTCCTCTAGTGACACCTCAGTCTGGGAGAGTTCCTTAGATTTGTCATCTAAAAAGAAGTGAGAAGAAACTTCGTCCATGTGAGCATGGTTGCGGAGCCTGCTGGCCCCTACTTAGGAAGGGGGAGGAAAACAGCAGAATGGTTAAGTGCCACTAGTTTTTTTTCAGGAGGGGGGGAAGAGAGGCAGGAGTGCTGCTCTAGTATGGGTGGGGAGTGAAGGGAAACAGAGCAGTGCAACCATTCTTCTCATTTAAGAAAAGGGAGCAGCGGAGTGGCCCACATGAAAAGTTGTAGGTGGGAGGCTGCGTACCTCTTTCATGACCAGGAGGTGGTGCAGGAGAATTGACTTGTTGCAGATGGTTGGAGCGGGACAGCTGAGAACAAGTCTAACTTCGTGTGTCTGTGAGAGCTGAGAATTGACCCACTGGGGTGCATGTGGTGAAACGGGGGCTAGTAATGCTATTTTTGGTGGGACAAAATTAACTAACTAGACTGCAGTGTCAGGATTTACTTACTGGTGGGGGACTGAAGATGCGTCCATGTAAATTAATAAGGCATGGGTGTGGTGGGTATGCAAATGAGAGAGCATGGCAGTTTCAGGTATTCTACCTCCTGCTAGTCTGGGTGAAGATATTAAGGAAATCTTTCAAACCTTGATAATCAGATGTCAAACACGTACACTGATGCTTGTGTGAATAGAGTAGGAAGGGAAGTGGGACCATATACCTAAATGTATTGGCTTTACCTAACTCTGCCTTCCCTAGAACAGTTCTGTATTAATCAGAAGGTATGCGAGTCCTGAAATAGTGTCCTTTGTGCACATTTGTAGGAACAGGGCTTCTTTCTGGCTGGCATTCAGGTTGGCCAATTGGCTATAGGATCTCTAAGTGGAGATTCCTAAGATAAGCAGTTGCCCAAAGGGGGCGGAGGGCAATTTATTCCTGAGGGAATTATGCACCAAAATATTGAAAATTATGTACCAAAAATTATGCACATGATATTTTAAAATTCTGCAAAACTCTACAAATTTTATTTGTCAATAAAGAAATGTAGCTCCAGCATGGCAGTGGGGAGCACAGGCCACTGACTGCATTGAGGTAGATCACCCTGAAGCCCCCACCTCTCCCAGTACAGGGACTTGGCAGTGAGACTGCACCTGACCCTGACACAGTGCAAGGGCTGGGCCTGCCCCTCTATGCCAGGTGCACCAGGTGTGGGCGGCAGGTTCAGCCCAGCAAGATCCAAGTATGGAGGGCTCTGTGGGTGGGGATCCACGTGTGGGGTGAGAGGTTTCTGGGTGTGGGTGGCTCAGTGGGAGATCTGGATGCACAGGGGCACATTGGGGGTTTTGGGTGCAGGTGCAGTGGGTTTCTGCAGGGGATCCAGGTGAAGGCGGTTGTGGCTCAGCAGGGGAGGTCTGGGTCTGGGAGACTAAGTGGGGGGTCTGGGTGCTGGGGGAATGGGGCTTCGAGTGGGGGTTTGGGTGTGGAGGGCTCATCAGAGGGGTCCAGGAGATGGGGCTTGTCAGGATGAGGGTTTGATGGGTCTGCTTAACAGGGGAGCCCCAGCTGCTGCTGAGGGGATGCCGCATGCCGGGGTCCTGCTTCCCCCCATGATTCCCCTGTTTCCTTTTCTTCTGCCACTGCCTCCCCTCACTCCCACATTCCCCTCCCCCTGCCTTATTCCTCCCCCTTCCTTCCCAATTGCCTTTTCCCCCACCCTCTCACCCCTTCTTCCCTCATTTCCCCCTTCCCCTCCCCCACCCAGCCCCACCACAGGCACTCACTGTTGCACAGAAAACAGAAAGGCACACAGAAGGGGAGCACACCTGGCATTAGGACCCAGCTGCAGATTCAGAGGCAGCCTCCTTCAGCTGGGCAGCTCTATGCTTGCAGAAATGGGGTGTGTGTGTGGCATGTAACCCCATGTGCCCTCCATCCCTTGCCTGTGTTTTTTTTGGGGAGGCAATTCCTCCCCAACACTGTGCCCATAATCACATCTCTCTCCCGCCTCCCTCCCCCCCGGCTTCCCTTTGCTTCCCTGCCATTTTCTGCAGGGAAGCACAGGACTCTCATGAGCAATTTGATAAGAGAAAGTCTTCAACTACTTACTGTTGCTGTATTCCATGATTCTCTATTGTGTTTTTCAGCGCTGAAGGGTCAGTCATGGCAGGTGATGCCATCATGCTGATCAGAGGCTTGGCTAAGCTCAGTAAGGCCATCATAGAAACCCAAGTAGGACAGCTGCGGCAAGGAGTTGTTGGTGGCGATGCAGTTATCATTGCAAGGACCTTTCAGACCACTGTTGAAGAGCAATTCAGTGCTGCCATGGGAAAGATGCAGGTAAGGAAGACTTTGTATGCGTTCACCATTTCCCAGAGCGAAGGCTTCTTTCTCTCACAGGTTGTACATTGCTTGTCTGTGAAAGGCGTCGTCTGTCTAAGAGGTAATGGGTGGTACTCATGAGGGCATTCTGTGCCAAAAAAAATTAAAAATTCTGCGCACAATATTTTAAAATTCTGCAAATTTTATTTGTCAAATAAATGTGGAGGCTCCAGCATGGCATTGGGTAGCACAGGCCACTGGCTGCACAGCAGTGGGAGAACACTGTGTGGTGGGTTTGACTTTGTCCCGGATGCTATGCAGGGGATGAGGAAGTCCCATCCTCCCTAGCCACGACTAGCAGCTGAGCCCGGCACAGGGTAGGAGCCACCAGGTGGGTCTTCCCTAGTCCTAAGTCCTGCCCCACAGTGATTTGCCTCTCTGCCGGCTGCCCTGGGCACCCAAAACATAGTGCTGGGGAGGGTTGCATGACCACTCTCGTGGCTTCCCTTTGCTTCCCCATCAAAATCATTTTTCTGCCGGGAAGGAAAGAAGGGGGACATAAATTCTGCACAGAATTCCCCTAGGAGTAACATAGGGTCCTTCCAGCTGCTGCAGGATGCTGAGACCATAGACAAGGTCTGCTGGTATTCTGAGGCACGGATTGTTAATACTAAACCATGGAAAATTCAGGTGATAGCTCCTAGAATATTGAAAAACATTATCTTAAATCAACGTTGTCAAAATAGTGATTTCTACAGTTTGGGTGGGGGATCTTTTTTTTTTAACCTCATTCTTCAGCATTCTTGAAATACAGCATCTTTGAGTGACTCACGCACAACCAAACCAGAGTGCTTGGGTACCTGTCTTTTGTTGGGTGAATGGAATGGGCACACATCTTCCTGTTTCTGTGCACAGGTGAAGGGATTGGCATATGGATGAGTCATGCACTCTGAAGTGCTTTTGAGAGCAATGCTCTCGGCCTGAGATGCAAGCACAAAAGGGCAGCATGGTGTGTTCCAAGTGCGAAGACATACCTGGGAGGCCTACTGTTCATGGCTGCTTTTTTGTTTTCCCCGGGAAAGAGTCATGAGCTGAGGCTGAGGATTTAAGGTTTGGAGGACTCTTTCCTGAGACTGTGGTATGAAAACACAAAGCGAATGGGAGATCTTGTTCTCCAGTAGGATAAATATCCAGTAGGAATTTTTTGTCCCTCCAGATAACTTAGTTGTATTGTGGTAATGCCTGGGAATCCCGGTTATGGACCAAAAGCTTTCTTGTCAAAAGTTAAGGTCTGACTAAGATTGAAAAGGGAAGGTCAGCAGCTTAAATATTTACAAACTTCGGTTGCTAAAGATTACCTCTCATTTGGCTGTGAGAATGGACTTGTATAAGGTGAATTTTTTCTACCGTTGCACTTAGCCAGTTCTTGTTTCCTCTGTGGAATTCTGCTGCTTTGCAACTCTTCTGCCATACCCCTTGGCACAGGTAGTATTTTCTGAAGAACTCAGGGCCAGATTTTCAAGTGTTCAGTGCCCACAATTGGGCTGGAATTTCAAAGGAGTCATTTTCCCATATAGGAACCTAAATAAAGGCCAGATTTTCAAAAGCGCTCAGGAGTGCCTATTGTGATCCTTGTGGCCAGACTTACAAAAGTGCTCCACACCCAGGGTGTTGACATCTCTTGAAAATCTGGTGCTTAGTGCCCTGGGAGGACATGAGTCTTTAAATCAAAACTTGCATGTCTTTCTAAAAGAGATGCTATAGCTGAAACACAAGTTATGGGCTTGATGCTGTAATTAATGGATGAGATTCTATGGCCTGCATTATACAGGACACCTGGCTACATGATCATTCATAATAATGGTCCCTTCTGGCCTTAAAATCTTGTGACTCTGTCTTTTTTTGGTTGAAGTTTGCCATGATTTTGGTGACCTGCAGAGCCCCCTAAGTGTAGCTGGTTGTCAGTGCTTGTTGTGATAACTTTTTGGCTGCCGTTACCTTAATTTTAGTTTTCCTTTTGCCATCCCAGGTTTACAATATTTATTTTAAAACTCTTCTTCGATCTCTCTGGTCCCAGGGTCTAATATGACAGTACTTTTGTGTTCTGATCGGCTTTGGCAGGAAAGAATGTATATTACTAGATGGAAAAAAGAACCTTCTGCAGTAAATGAAACGGTCTCCATCCCTTGCAGCCCTTGCCAAATATTGACCATTTAAGACTTAAGATAATTCTTATTAAGTATGAAGAGAAGAAATTTGCTCTTTTCATACCCTGGTGGGAGGTGGCTGCTGCTGCCGCACTGATTAAAGATTTTTTCCTCCCTCAGTAATGTTGGTGCTGGGAATTACACGAGACCTGCTTGCATAACAGGAAGGGCTGTGTCCTGCATTTCTTCCTCAAATGGGGGGGAAATAATTAGCATTTGGGAAAGAGCCTGGAATATGCTGCTGTCTGCCTGACTGTATAAGAATTAAAACGTTGATTTGGTTACAGTTCTCAGCAACAGGGTCAATGGCTGAGGCAGGTAACTGGAGTCCCAGGGGCACTAGACAGTTCATTGAGTTAATGCTTTGTTTCTTGCTTTGATACTGCCAATCACTTTGCAGTATTCGCAGATATCTGGAATAGCAAGGCCGGTATCACAAGTCAGGACCCAAGTGTGTTGGCAGAGCTAGGTTGGAAAACCTTTTCCCGGCAACACCTCACATTGAGCTTAGCTGTGAGGTCACACCCTTGCTTTAAGCGCAAAATAATCATGCTCACAGTGAAATGTACAATACTACAATAACTTGCTGGCTGGTTAAAGAAATACTATTTTCTGTTTATGGGATCAGCCATGTGGGGTTGAGCTAAACTGCTCTACAATTAGATGTTCGACTAGTACTTCTGAAAGAGTTTAAGGTGTAAAAATACCTAAACTATGAATAATGGGGAAGAGTGCAAGAAGGATAAAAACTAAAGTCTTGAGTGATGGAAGGATGTGTGAGGGGTGCTGGGGGGAGGGAGATAGCAGATCATTTCTGTCATCAGGTCTGTTGCACCCATCGCTATAGTAGCTAAGTACTGTGTTCCATATAAATGGTCTCCAGAATTCTTGTACCTTCCTGTGTACCTATGATGTGGGATTGACTGGATATACCTGAGTACCTCCCCTTGAAATCAGCACGACCTAGTTACACTCCCATTTAAGAGGGTCTTCGAGTGTCCTGTGGGGTTTTTTAAATTTCTGGTTTCTGACCCATTCCAATATTACTTGCAGGATCTGGGTAAACAGCAAGAAAACTTAACTGATCTTGGTGAGGATTTTGGGAGCGATTACAATTTCTCGGGGCCAGAGTCGTCAAATGCTACAAAGGACTTCTCATCTCCAGGCCAGCCCGACAAAGGTAGTGGTACAGAGGGTCCAGCTTACACCTACGCCACAAACGGACCTTTTAGAAATGTCAGCGAGATTGGAGATGCAAGCCCAGGGCAGATTCCTTTCTCCGCCAAAGTGAATGCAAAGCTATTTGGAGGCTTTAGGGACCCTGGAAATCCTTTTGCTGCTGTTTTTGGGCAAAACAGGGCTTTTCACCAGGACCATTCCTCTGTCAGTGGGCTAACAGCTGAAGATATTGATAAAGCCAGGCAGGCCAAAACCGATCCGGAACACAAACCTCACAAACAAATGGTATGTATTTATTAATTTCCAGTCCTCTGCTTTAGCCACACAATCACCCTTCCTCACCCTCTCCTCCTGCTCTTCCTCCGAATTTGGCTTATTGCTACGTGGGTGGTAAAGGGAACGGTGTCTGGTTTTTTGTTTGTTTTGTTTTTTTTAATTTTAGTCTATGCAATGTTGTTCTGTCACTCCCCTCCCCCCCATTCATCTTCTGTGAGAGGATGGTTAAAATGTGTACATGAAATTAGAATTGTTCTCTATTAACAGGTGCTCACCTGTCACTCCCCATGCTGGGCCCTCGGGTGCCATTGCATGCTTAGGATAATTAAGGGTCTATATTTACTCTTGGCTTGCAGACTGAGACATGGAGCAGGTGCAGACAGCTGTAGGCAGTCTCAGTAGGGGTGTGAAAGATTGAGTGGGCACAATATGTTGAATTCCTCTGAACTGAGTGTGTGATCCCTCCAGGTCAGGGTGGCCCCCACTATTAGGATAGCATATGGGAAGCTTGAACTTCCACCCCAGAGTATAAACATACCTAAGAATGGCATAATCTTGCAAATGCTGCACCTTGCCCTCATGTGAAAGAAGGAGGAGAAACTATAGTGGAATGAGAGAGTGCACAGCGAAAAGATTTGCCATCATTGATCTGTCTCTCTCTCCTTCTCCAAACCCCACTCCAGATGTTACCAGGATTCACAGTTAATTTAACCCATTGGGCTGCTTTTAGTAAACCCACTTGTTCTTGTACTGCACCTGTAACTGGAGGGGTAGTCTATAGTGCTATGAACCTGGTAACTTTCAAGAGGATTAATTTCACTAATGCAAGGTATGTGTCCTGTAGATCAAAGGGTGGCCAAGTTAGCTATAGGGTCTACTTAGACATGAACACAAACCTTTTAATCCCTCTTGCTTCCTCTCCATGGCTCCCCCAGTATTTGCCACTGGAGATGTTTAATGTTTGCTTCGGTTTACAATTTGCATGGTACACTGTGTTCGCTTGGAAAAACATGAGCTTCTAAAGGCTACAGGGATCAGTGCCCTAGAAATACCTAGGGTGGGATTTGTGGGATGCTGATTTCTAGCTTGGTGTAGGTCTTAAAGCATCAAATAAGTTATGTTATTTTCTTTGGTAGCATCAACCTCTCCTAGCTGAGTTTCACTGTGGATTTTTTCTTATTTTGTTTCTTCCAATCATGCAGCTAAGTGAACGGGCCCGAGAGCGGAAGGTGCCAGTCACACGGCTTGGGAGACTCGCTAACTTTGGAGGTGAGGGGTGTGTGTGTGAGGGCCTGGCACTTGTGCATGTATTTGTATTAGTCAATGACCATGAGGGTGCTGATGGTGAGGCAGCAGGGAAGAGCTGAGTGTAATGAACACTAACCACCTCTGTTCCAGTTAAGGATTCGGTTAGCATGTGCCTTGCTACAAATGGCTGATTTGGATCAATGCTCAGCTCATGCTGCTTTATTATGGTTGCAGATCTCATCCACTAATCTGAGTGGAGTTGCAGCAGGGATGAATCTGGCCCACGGTACAGTGGGACGCATTGCAGAGGCCAAACCCCCAAAGTTGTTATGATGCGTATGTTCTGAGACCTGGCTCTTTGTCACTTTCTTCTCTCCTGTATTATCCGGCTGCCATGTAGCAGTCTGCCTCTAGTGGAAACACATGATAGTCTTAGAAGTTCTGTGTGGAGGATTTGGTAGGGCGCTGCTACTCTTCTTGATAATACTCTGTTCCTTCACCTTTGGTTTTTTAGTTACCTGTTATCCAATAAAAATGCCTCTGCTCCTGCAGACTTGCATATTTATTTATTTATTTATTTATTTATTTATTTTCGAGGGAAACGTTCCTCTGGTTACTTCAGCAGCATGAAGTACTACAGTAGCTTGCCTTAGTTTGAACTGATCCATACTGTTCACTTGATTAGTGGCCAGATGTTATGAAATGTATTATTCTGGTGGAGGATGGGGAGCTTACCTGCAGAACAGACATGGTCGATGCATTTAACTCGTTAATAAACCACTTTCTAATTGAAAGATTATGTAGGGCCTGATCCTACAAGCTTTCCTTGTGAAGAATTCTCACTGAAATCAGCGGGATTTCTGTGCACGAATGGCTTGCAGGATTGGGCTCGTATTGAAAGAATAGGTGCTTTTTAAGATAAACATCTTTATAGCAGTAATAATAGCTGGCACTTGCATAACACGTTGCATCTGGGGATTTCAAAGGGCATAACAAATGTTAATGAAACTGCACAGTATCCTCCCTGTGAGATAAGGGAAGTATTACACCCAGATTACAAATGGGAAAATGCTCGTGGAAGTGCATGACTCCCAGTCCCCTATTCTGCGATCAATAAACTTGCAGCCTTTTGCTTAGATGTGATCATATTGTTTATAGATAAATGCAGCATAATTACATTGTGAGTTTTCTCTCAAGTAGTGGTTTTAGAGCCTCTCACACCTATAAGGACTTCACAAAATCTGCTTCAAACACACACACACACAATCTAGACATCCCCAGATTATTAATACCATGTTCAGACCTGCCAGTGCACAGGAGTAGTCCCCTTAGCCTACTTGTATTGGGGTGTGTGTGTGTGTGTGTGTGTGTGTGTGTGTGTGTGTGTGTTGTTTACGCATGCGTAGGAAA